TCCACCTGGCTTATTTCACCAAGCATACTATCCGCTAGATAAATCCACGTTGTTGTAAATGGCAGTATTTCTTTTCTTTTTGTGGGTGAATAATATTCCATTCTATGTACCACATTTTCATTATCCATTCATCTATTGATGGACACTTAGGTTGCTTCCATATCTTGGCTATTACAGTGTGACAATAAAGATAGGGGTGCTTGAATATTTTCGAACCAGAGATTTTATTTTCTTTTGGTAAGTTCCCAGAAGTGAATTTACATGATCAAATGGTCTTTCTAACTTTAGTTTTTTGAGGAACCTCCAGATTGCTTTCCACAAGTTGCTCCAATACACATTCCCACCAACAGTGTAGAATAGATCCCATTTCTCTGCATCCTCTCCAGCATTTCTTATTTCTTCTCTTTTGAATAGTGGTCATCCTAAATGGTGTGAAGTGATATCCCATTGTGCTTTTAATTTGCATTTCCCTGATGCTTAGTGATGTGGAGCATCTTTTCCTGTGCCTGTTGGCCAGCTGTATTTCTTCTTTGGAGACCTGTCTATTCAGGTCCTGCACCCATTTTTGAATCAGTTATTGGTTCTTTGGGTGTGAGGCATATGAGTTCTTTATATATTCTGGATGCTAACCCCTTATCAGATAAGTCATTTATGAATATACTCTTGCAATCTATAGGATGCCTTTTTGTTCCGCTGATGGTGTCCTTCGCTATACAGAAGTTTCTTACTTTGATGTAGTCCCACTTGTTCATTTTTTATTGTTTCCACTGCATAAGGAAATGTGTCCAGGAAAAAGTTGCTTATGTTTATATTCGAGAGATTTTTGCCTGTTTTTTTCTGAGTTTTATTGTTTCATGACTTACATTTAGGTCTTTGATCCATTTCCAGTTTACTTTTGTGTGTGGTGTTAGACAATAATCCAGTTTCATTCTCTTACATGTAGCTATCCACTTTTGCCAACACCATCTGTTGAAGAGACTGTCATTTCCCCATTGTACATCCATGGCTCCTTTATTGTACATTAATTAACCATATATGTATGGGTTTATATTTGGGTTCTCTATTCTGTTTGCTATTATTTATTCCATTTTTGTTCAACTAACTAAAGAAAAAAACATTCGATCAACACGTAAATTTAAACGCTTAGGTAAACATCACAAAAACTCATTTCAATAAAAACACACTGGCAGGGCCAGCTACAGCCCCCAACATTGGAGAAGCAAAGTGAGCAAACTCTCTTGCCACAAAGAAATTCACAATGTGGAATTGTATATGTTGCAGCCCTCCTCTTGAATCTGAACAGAAATCTTTTAAAAACAACTATAAAGACCAAGGGAAGAATTATGTTAACAACTGTGATTAATCTAGGCTGCAAGAACTGTTAACTGATAAACTCACTAAAAATGGACAATTCATTAACATAAATATCACTAAAAAAAAAAAAAAATCAAGAAAGAAAAGTACCTCCTGATGCAAATGAAATACAGAATACACACCACCACCAATGCTTACCTATATGAAACTGAGCCTCAATTTAATCTTTAAAACTAATTTATATTTACAGTAAATATGTGGGTCATGGAAAAAGCCAGTAACACAAGACACAAAAACAAATGCAGAATGTGAAACATGACTTCCAGTAAGACAAACATGGTTCTGACATCAGTGGTAAAGAGAAAAAAGGAAGGTAAAAAGAAGTTGAAGACAGAACTACTCTAGATTAAGGAGAATCAAAATATGTAATGCATAAATTGTATCTTGATCCTGACTCAAAGATATCAACTATGGAAAGGAATTTTTGGAATAACTAAAGAATTTTATACTTGGATTGAAAATTACATTTACATATGTAAAAAAAGTTTACTACTTTTTATTTAGGTATAAAAATAGTATCACGGCTACATATGAAAACACCTACATTTTTTAGAGATGCAAGCAGCAATTTAGGGTGGAGACCCAAAAAATCTCCTTTAAAATATTTCTGCAGAGATGACATGATATTGTACATAAAAAAACCCTACAGAATCTACTCTAAAATTACTAGAAGTAATACTTTAATTCAGCAAAGTTGCAGGATACAAAATTAATACACAGAAATCTGTTGCATTTCTATATACTAACAATGAACTAGCAGAAAGAGAAATCAGGAAAACATTTCCATTCACAATTCTACCAAAAGGAATAAAATACCTAGGAATAAACCTAACCAAGGAAGTGAAAGACCTATACTCTGAAAACTACAAGACACTCCTAAGAGAAATTACAAAGGACACTAACAAATGGAAACTCATCCCATGCTCTTGACTAGGAAGAATTAATATTGTCAAAATGGCCATCCTGCCCAAAGAAATCTACAGATTCAATGCAATCCCTACCAAAATACCAACAGCATTCTTCAATGAACTGGAACAAACAGTTCTAAAATTCATATGGAACCACAGAAGACCCCAAACAGCCAAAACAATCCTGAGGGGGAAGAATAAAGCAGGAGGAATCTCACTTCCCAACTTCAAGCTCTACTACAAAGCTACAGTAATCAAGACAATTTGGTACTGGCACAAGAACAGACCCACAGACCAATGGAACAGAGAGTCCAGATATTAACCAAAGCATATAATATCAATTAATATGCAACAAAAGAGCCACAGATATACAATGGGGAAATGATAGCCTCTTCAACAGCTGGTGTTGGTATAACTTGACAGCTACATGTAAAAGAGAATGAAACTGGATTACTGTCTAACTCCATACACAAAAGTAAATTCGAAAGGATTAAAGACCTGAAAGTAAGTCATGAAACCATAAAACTCTTAGAAGAAAACAGGCAAAACTCTCTTGAATATTAACATGAACAACTTATTCATGAACACATCTCCATGGGCAAGGGAAAGAAAAGCAAAAGTGAACAAGTGGGACTATCTCAAACTAAATAGCTTCTGTACAGCAAAGGACACCATCAATAGAACAAAAAGGCATCCTACAGTATGGGAGAATATATTCATAAATTATATATCTAGATAATAAGGGGCTGACATTCAAAATATACAAAGAGCTCATGCACCTCAACAAAAAGAAAATAATCCAATTTAAAACTGGGCAGAGGAAGTGAACAGACACTTCTCCAAAAAAGAAATTCAGACAGCCAACAGACACATGAAAAGATGCTCCACATCACTTGTCATCAGAGAAATGCAAATTAAAACCACAATGAGATATCACCTCACACCAGTAAGGATCGCCACCATCCAAAAGACAAGGTTGTGGAGAAATGGGAACCCTCCTATACTGCTGGTGGGAATGTAAACTAGTTCAACCATTGTGGAAAGCAGTATGGAGGTTCCTTAAAAAACTCAAAATAGAAACACCATTTGACCCAGAAATTCCACTTCTAGGAATTTACCCTAAGAATACAGCAGCCCAGTTTGAAAAAGACATATACACCCCTATGTTTATCACAACACTATTTACAATAGCCAAGAAATGGAAGGAACCTAAGTGTCCATCAGTAGATGAATGGATAAAGAAGATGTGGTACATATATACAATGGAATATTATTTAGCCATAAGAAGAAAACAAATCCTACCATTTGCAACAACATGGATGGAGCTAGAGGGTATTATGCTCAGTGAAATAAGCCAGGGGAATAAAGACAAGTATCAAATGATTTCACTCATCTGTGGAGTATAAGAACAAAGAAAATACTGAAGGAGCAAAACAGCAGCAGACTCACAGAACCCAAGAATGGACTAACAGTTACCAAAGGGAAAGGGACTGGGGAGGATGGGTGGGAAGGGAGGGATAAGGGGAAAAAGGGGCATTACAATTAGTACACATGATGGTAGCTGCGGGGGGTGGGGTGGGGGTGGGGACCGGGGAAGGCAGTACAGCACAGAGAAGAGAAGTAGTGATTCTATAGCATCTTACTATGCTGATGGACAGTGACTGTAATGGGGTATGTGGTGGGGACTTGGCAATGGGGGGAATCTAGTATCCACAATGTTGACCATGTAACTGTATATTAATGATGCCAAAATTTAAAAAATAAGAATGTCAAAAATATATGTATATTTCTGCAGAGAGTAAATGAAGGAAAGGGATATGAGGGTACTTGGGGTCTATTTAACTATTCTTTCCACTTTTAACTATGTTTGAAATCGATAATAAAAAAGACAGGAAAAAATAATTATAGTTAAAATCTGTTAGATAATTCCAGTCTTATTTGACTGTGCCTGGCTAATTAGTACGTATTGTTGCCCCTTCCTAATCCCCGGCATCATGTACATTTGGCCCATATGGCAGAAGTTTGGTAACTGACAGTTGGGTAAATGAACAGTCAAGGGGGTTGGCGGTATGTGTAGTCTGCCTCCACTCAGGACCTGGTAAGAAATTCTGCCACTGTCAACTGCTCATGTGGGGAACAGCCACAGCCACACTGGACAGTGGATCAAACAAATGTCAGTGAATTCATGTAGCTCCTCCACTGAACCAAAACAAAGGTCTGCATATTACATCATCTATCTTATTTTGTAACTCTTGAGAAAATTCAGTCACAGGCAAAAGTAAAAGAACCTACATTATTCAAGTGGCATAATGTCATTCCAAATAACAAATGTTTAAAAACGCTCACTAACAGAAAACATTGTGGAACAGGAGATGAGGTAAACAATGGGCAAATAATAATTTTAATTTTAAAACCAGTACCCCATGTGTAAAGCACATGTGTTAAAGTCTAATATAGAAGAATTTAATAATGACTTTTTGGTCAGAGCTTAATGATTCATATAAAGGGTTTTCTCAGCTCATGTGAAAACCGCCAATCGTTTTCCTCAAACTTACATAATCCAAACTCTTCATTCATAGGCATCAGTAAATGAATCAAAAGATTTCAAATCAACCACTCTTCCAGAGCACACTGCCATGCCTTACTGAAGTAAGTATAGCAACAGCTCGCGTCTTTCTTCCTGTCACCACCAGTTCCTTCCCCCTTATTCTGTCTTACCTCTACCACGGGCTCGCTTGCTGCGGTCTGAAGCCTTGTCTCCTTGATTGCTATCAATTCCATTCTCTTCACCTCTAACTACGGAAGAAAATAACACCACTTGTACATAGTCTTACCAGACAGCTATTAAAGGCAAGCACAGAAAGACTTTTTTTAAAAAGGCTAAAATTTTACCAAAGCATTTAGAAAACAGGAAACAAAACCAAACAAAAGTGTTTCAAAAATTGATAGTACATTGTGCTTCATTCCTATGTAAAAATCCTAAAAAGAATTTACAACAACATTTCACTGTTCTTTCTTCTAAGTTGCATTTGCCCTCCCTGAAATAAGTTTGCTTCAAAAGAATCACCTTCTACTGCAACTGTGTTAACACATAAAATTTGCTCACTGATTAGATTCAAAGCCTGGGAAGGCACAAAAGAGCACAATAGTATTATCAAGGAAATACCAAGTTGTGAAAATTCACGTCAAGTTAGGTTTTTCATGATGCTGTCCAGAAGATGGAAAAGAAGATAAAATATAATCCTATACTGGCATTAGTGATGCTAAATAATATAGAAATTTCATGAGCAATACTGGCATAGCTTGCTTCCCCTTCATCTCTTTCAAGGCTTAACCCCTATTAGTTGTGAGTAAGGCCTTCCTTGCCCACTCCATTTAAATTTGCCAAACCCATCCCTAAAATCTCCATCTCTGCCTTTTATGACAGTATCATAATGTAAATGATATGTTACTTCTTTCTCTTTTTTATTGTTACACCTCATGCTACCTCCATTAAAGGTTAAGTTTTAGGAAGTCAAAGCTTTCCTTTTGTTTTATTCATTAATGTATGTATGCTATATGAGTACCTGATAGAGGAAGTACTTAATAAGTATCTATGGAATAAATAAACTAGTAAAAGTCTCTAAGGTGATATGTTAAAATATTTGTATTTTATTCATTCTTAATTTAGCAACTTTGCTATGTCTGTACAGCAAACAAGTGTTGTTTTGGGTAAATGATGCCAAAATCTGGATCGAATGCAAAACACTGAGAAAATCTTCCCCATCCAACAACTTTCCTCTTAATGTAACCTTTACTTATACCATGACTACCCATAAATGGGAAGAATAAACAGCTTCATCTATCAGTGAATGAAAAACCTCCTTTAAAATTAGGGACACACTTGTTTCTTAACAGAATGCAGTCTTAAGACACACAACAGCAGCACAGGTCATGCTACTTTGAAATTTTATCAGTTAGGGTTCTAACAAACTAAGCAACAGATCATTACTATGTGTGAATGATAAGAACAAACATTATACTAAGTAGATCTACAGGCATTCAGCTTTTTCAGTATGCATGAAAATTTTCATAATAAAAAGTGCAGAAGAAAGACCTGTACTTACACTCTCTTCCACGACTGCCATCTTTTCCTTTCCGGTTGTTGTTTCCACGTCCACGATTCACTTCTCTCTCACTTCTCTTCTCTCTATTCTCTTTGTTTTCTGAATTTTCTTTTCCAAAATTCTTCTTCTTCCCCACAACAGTCTCCCATGAAGTCTACCAAAGGGAAGAGGTGTCATTCAGGGTTGTCATTCAAAGTATATATATTTATCAATGGTAGGTGCATTTTATCATTCAAACCCAATTAATTAACTATGCCTTGCACCTCACTTGCCTACCATTTTATTTCTTTTCCATATAGTTCTACCTTCTGATGATAAAGACAGCAAATCTTCTGCCAAGCTCCCGCTGCTATATACACCACAAAAGATAGCACCCACTAGCTGAATTTAAAACATACTATATGATATTCCACCACAGAGCATTTTCCTAAGCTGATTTACAACAAAGTAAATGTCATTTCTCCAGTCTACAGTGGTAGGCTTTAAACCTGTTAATACATAGATTAGCTCAAAGACTACAAAATTACATAAAATGATGAACCCTAAAATCTCAGGAATATAACTTTCTCTATTCAGTTATGCAAAGTATCTAAAATACTTTAATATTATATAATGTTTTGGTATAACTTAAAAAAAAAACAACTAAGCTCCCAAAATTTCAATGTGAAAGGCCTGTTCTAAAGAGGACTCAAATTACTTACATAACCTCATGTCTTCCCCTCTCCTCTAGTGTGATACCAAATCAGACCATATATATAAATAAATTACTAAGAAAAGAATGAGACACTATGTTCTTGTGCATGTACTGAGTATTAGGATATCAACTGGGTATGTTACTAAGAAATCCATAGCTGGCCTATGTTTATATTTACTTTTCCATACTCTACATTATTTCACAAGGGAGTAGAAGTAATTCAATCTGAAAATAAGAGCAATTACTATTTTAACCTTTAAAAAAAACCTTAGAAAAAAAATACTGATATTGTAGAGCCAAATAAGCATAAACACTTGGCAATTAATAAAATTAAAGATTATACTACAGCTGTTCTGGAATTATAATATATTCCAGAACAGTAGAGCTCAGATTTTAAATGTTTTTTTTTAAAGGAATTTTTTCAACATCTAAAAACCTCTGCTGACCTCACATTTACATGTAAAATGATAAAACATGGAAAAATACAAATTAAAATAACTTACTGTCTAAGCTTTCACAAATATTTTTAAAAAACCAACACCCTGAATAACCACGTATTACTCCATTGCTGATGAGCATAGATCTTTTCTACCTTCCTGGAAGTTTACCTGGCAATAATATCCAATTTTTAACTCGTTCACAGCTTTTGACTCAGTGATTATACCTGTAGGCCTTTATTCAGGAAATAATTAAGTAATTCTGCAAACATTTATATAAAATGATCAGAATAAAAGGGAGGACTGGAATTCCCCAAAAAGCTGGCTCTGAGACCATCTACTCTAGAACATCTATAAATGGAGAAGAATGTAGCTATTTTAAAGAGTACCAGGTATATACATAGAAAGAGATCCAGGATAAAAGTTAAGTGACTATCAGCAGTGTATAAAATAGGACTACATTTTTTAGTTCAAACAAGAGGCTGTGTATATATAGAAGTTAGTAATTATCTAAGTGAGGACATTTAACTTAACTTCACGTTTTTATCATTCTGCATTGTTTTCCTATTAAAAAAAGCAATAAAGGTTATTTATTCCAAAAAGTAACCTGTAATATAAAAATTCAACTTATTATGTTAACTAATATGAATATTATATTGACATATGACAGCTATGTAAGGCAGAATCCCGTACTCTTAGGTTAACAAGCCAAAAATGCTAGAGGGCCTGGAAAAGTCACACACAGAAGAGTCTGCACAAAGTACATACACACACAATTTATGTCTTAAGAAGGCCACACAGAAAAGTACTCAATCATTAGGCAGGGAAATATTTTTTTAGAAAACATTTGAGAAAGAGAACATGTTACCCCATTTCATTCAGGAAAAGGGTATCCATAAGCAAGTCTTGGCTTGTGAACAATGACTAAGACCTTATTAATGGGGTAAAGTAAGGAAAGAAACTTTTAAGGGGCAATTGGTCTAACATAATACCACATGCTAAAGAGAATAACACATTTTCACAACAGTGTGCAAACATGCACAAAGCCGTTCAAAGTGAACCAAATAATTATAAATTATTTTCAACTGAACTTTGCAACCTTCGTCATCTATATTTTATTACTTGCAGAATACATGCGAAAACCTAAGAGGAATGGTTCCTCCAGACACCACATTTAATCATCAGAAAAGATTTCCAAGCCACCTCATTCCAAAATGACTTTGCCACCCCTTATTTGTCAGTAACTACACAAATTACATTTTATTTATTTTTTCTATCATTAATATACACTTAAATGAGCAACAGACACGGTGGTTATGAGATTTCCCCCCATTATCAAGTCCCATCCACATACCCCATTACAGTCACTATCCAACAGCAGAATAAGATGCTATAGAGTCACTACTTGTCTTCTCTGTGCTAAACTACTTTCCCTGTGCCCCTCCCCTTCATTATACTGTATGTGCTAATCGGATTGCCCCTATTTTCCCTTATCCCTCCCTTCCCACCAATCCTCCCCAGTCCCTTTCCCTCTGGTAATTGTTAGTCCATTGTTGGGTTCTGTGAGTCTGCTGCTGTTTTGTTTCTTCAGTTTTCTCTTTGTTCTTTTACTCCACAGATGAGTGAAATCATTTGATACTTGTCTTTATTCCCCTGGCTTATTTCACTGAGCATAATACCCTCTAGCTCCATCCATGTTGTTGCAAATGGTAGGATTTGTTACCTTCTAATGGCTGAATAATATTCCACTGTGTATATGTAACACATCTTATTCATCCATGCATCTGCTACTGGGCACTTAGGTGACTTCCATTTCCTGGCTATTGTAAATAGTGATGGGATAAACACAGGGCTGCATATGTCTTTTTCTAACTGGGCAGCTGCATTCTGAGGCTAAATTCCTAGCAGTGGAATTCCTGGGTCAAATGTTATTTTTATTTTAGTTTTTGGAGGAACCTAAATAATGGTTTCCACAATGGTTGAACTAATTTACATTCCCACCAGCAGCATAGGAGGGTTCCACTTTCTCCACATCCTTGCCAACATTTCTTGTTTGTCTTTTGAATAGTGGTCATCCTAACTGGAGTGAGATGTATCTCAGTGTGGTCTTACTTTGCATTTCTCTGATGATTAGCGATGTGGAGCATCTTTTCATGTGCTTTTCATAAAGCAGGCAAGAACCCCCCTGCTTTATTCTTCTTTCTCAGGATTGCTTTGGCTGTTTGGGGTCTTTTCTGGTTCCACAGAGATTTTAGAACTATTTGTTCCAGTTCACTGAAGAATGCTGTTGGTATTTTGATAGGGATAGCATTGAATCTGTAGGTTGCTTTAGGCAAGATGGCCATTTTGACAATATTAATTCTTCCTAATGAAGAGCATGGGATCAATTTTCATTTATTAGTGCCCTCTTTAATTTCTCCTAGGAGTATCTTGTACTTTTCAGGGTTTAGGTCTTTCACTTCCTTGCTTAGGTTTACTCCAAGGCATTTTATTCTTTTTGATGGAATTGTTTTCCTGATTTCTCTTTCTGCTAGTTCATCATTAGTGTATAAGAGAGCAACACATTTCTGTGTGTTAGTTTTGTATCCTGCAACTTTGCTGAATTCAGATATTCATTCTAGTAGTTTCGGAGTGGATTCTTTAGGGTTTTATATGTACAAGATCATGTCATCTGCCAACAGTGACAGTTTAACTTCTTCCTTACCCATCTGGATGCCTTTTATTTCTTTCTGTTGTCTTACTGCCGTGACTGGGACTTGCAGTACTACGTTGAATAAAAGCAGGGAGAGTGGGCCTTCTTCTCTTGTTTCTGATCTTACAGAAAAAGCTTTCAGCTTCTCACTGTTAAGTATGACGTTGGCTGTGGGTTTGTCAGATATGGCCTTCATTATGTTGAGGTATTTCCCTCTATACCCATTTTGTTGAGAGTTTTTATCAAGAAAGGATGTTGAATTTTGTCGAATGCCTTTTCTGCATCTAGGAAATGATCATGTGGTTTTTTTCTTCTTTCTATTGATGTGGTGGATGATATTAATCGAATTTCAAATGTTGTACCATCAGCGTATGCCTGAGATGAATCTCACTTGATCATGGTGTATGATCCTCTTGATTTATTTTTGAATTTGGTTTGCTAATATTTTGTTGAGTATTTTAGCATATATGTTAATTAGGAATATTGGTCTTTACATTTCTTTTCTTGTGGTGTCTTTGATTTTCATATTAGAGTGATGTTGGCTTCACAGAATAAGTTTGGAAGTATTCCCTGCTCTTCTACTTTTTGGAAAACTTTAAGGAGAATAGGTATTATGTCTTATCTAAAGGTCTGAGAAAATTCAGCAGTGAATCCATCTCGTCCCAGGGGTTTTGTTCTTGGGTAGTTTTTTGACTACCAATTCAATTTCACTGCTGCTAATTGTCTTTTCAGATTTTCTGTTTCTTTCTGGGTCAGTTTTGGAAGGTGATATTTTTCTAGAAAGTTGTCCATTTCTTCTAGCTTATCCAGATTGGTAGCATAAAGATTTTCATAGTATTCTCTAATAATCCTTTGTATTTCTGTGGTGTCTGTCATAGTTTTTCCTTTCTCATTTCTCATGATGTTTATGTGTGAAGATACTCTTCTTAACAAGTTTGGCTAGGGGTTTATCTTATACAAATTACTTTTACAAAAAGAGGACAGACTGGATTAAAGATGGCAGCATGAAAGTTGAGACAGAGACCTCCTCCTAAAACAACATATAATACAAAAATACAATTAATACAACTAATCCTGAAAGACCAACAGGAAAAAAGGCTGTAGCAGACTGCATCAACCAGGAGAAAAGAGCAGACCTCATGGAATAGGGTAACGTACCAAAGCTGTGACCCGGCAGGGCCCAAGCCCGTCCACCACTCCAATGACCCAGAGGGAGGAAGAGAAACAGAGCAGGTAGGGAGTGGAGGCCTTGGACTGCTGAACACCTTGCCTTGAAGATCTGCTCTTGGAGCATGAGCCTACATTGCATGGTGCTCTGGTGATTAGAGGGG